GAAAACTCTGAAGAATTTGTCAGTAAGAAGCTGCAGTAGCACAGCCATAATGTGGGCAGAGTGACGGCAAACATTTCCTCCTTCATTTCTTCTGCCAGCTCTGTGCTGTCACATGTCATCTCTCTTACAAGGCAGAGAATGTCGTTTCGAAACAGATCAGATTTGCCSGCAAAAAAAAAACTTTTCCACAGCATCATGCTGGACTAGAAGCAATCCTATACTTCTCAGTTCCTCCCCTTATCAGTCAGACTTACCATTATTAAGTTACCTAACTTCTAAAATGCATCAGCAGTTATCGCTGTCGCCATAAGGAAAAATAGTTAAGAGATAAAGGTGCAAAAAATCTGAACTGTAGCAACTTTTACAACTCCAGGCAAACACAAAATACCTTTATCATCTTCATGGAAGTCTTACTAACCAGCTCAGATCAGTGTAATTAAACTCTGTGTCAGCAAGTCCCATCATAAAAACCTGGTCCTTCAAAGTTTGGTTTTCCATGCCCTCGTTACCCAAGTCTGGGTGTGCCCAACATTTGTTATTATTATCTTATTCAAGATATATCATTGAATTATCTTATCAAAACCAAGAGAAAAATCCAGCCCTGTGTTTGCTCCTGACCTTAAAACAAGGCAGGAGGGCTGGCCAGGTAACGACCGTGCTTTCCAGGAGGATTCCTTGACTTTTCCTACTCAGGGTGAGGCAGGCACCACCCCAGGAATGTTTCCTGCACTCCTGGCTCCAGCTGGAGCAGAAAGCACACCCAGAAACCCAAGGAGCACTGGAGAAGCTGAAACTTTGGTGACAGGGAAGTCTCCAGGGATCCCTGACAGGGTGAGCCTTCATGCCAGKTCTCTTCTCAGCAGGTGGGAATCCCATCAGGAGCCAGGACACTCTGTAGTGCTSAGGGGTAAGTGCCTTTGAGCAGAAAAAAATTAAAACAATACATAATTAAATACRTAAATAARTAAATAAATAAYRGCCAAACTTTGCGCAACTGTTCTGTTTAAATCCAGATTATCTGTTTATTTAYTGAAGTTGCATTTTTCCTGACTACCATGAGGCACACAGCTGCCTGTCCATGGTATTTCTCATGGAACAGTTGGATCCAGCCGAGAGGAAGAACAAGAAAGAAAAGGGAAAAAAATTTAAATCTTTTAATCTGCTCCAGCCCAGTGACAATTTGCCAGTCCTCGGGAGATGAAGCTCTGYGGGGGAAATTGCTTTTTAATTTACTTTTATTTAAAGTAGCCCTTAAAGAAGAGCTCCCATTAACAAGCATGTACTCTGGCCAGCTGGAATGATTAACCTCAAAACCACCACAGAGTGAGCCAGCATCTTTCAGCTKGATTTTTGCTGGCAACTGCTGACCAGCTCCATTCAACATGTCTTAGCTTCATTTTTGAGCAATTCCTACTGCATCACAGCATAATCGGGGTCAAGAATTAGTTCTTAACAAAGTCAAACTGTGGTTCCTCAGAAACAGGAAACTTGGTCGAAGGAATCCACCAGTTGCTGCATTTATTGCATCAATAGATCTTTGAGTTTTGGGAAACGGTAGTGGATATTCCACATGTTGAATACCTCCACTAGAATTTTGTACTGTGTCAGTTTTTTCATTAGAACTGGTTTTGGTGTTCCCAGGTCACAGGTGCTCAGGCTTGAGCACCCCACGACCACGAGRGATCTCAGGCACAAGAGGTGTGCCCCTGCCTGCATATTTTTCAGAAGTTTTGGGGTGGAGTTGAAGGGCAGGAAAGGAAAGGAATTGTTGSCTTGGTCTGCAGGCAATGCTGCTGCAAACAACGAGGAGGAAACYCCTGAACTTTTGCACGTCAGCAGAAGCCAGGTAAGAATTTGGCAGTGAGGCTGGAAATGAACCCTAAACATACACAGGTCTGGCTTTAGATCCCTCATTCACCTCTCACTACGTGTTTGTATTCTCAATCTCTGCACTCCCTGGTGACAGGACCAGTGCCAGACCCAGCCTGGCAATAAATAATTGCATAACATCTCTRATATATTATATCTCAGCTGGAAACTCCGTGCAAGCAGCCAGCACGGCTGCAGAGGGGAGCAGCCTCACACCAAAGCCTATTTGAACATAGAAAAAACGCAATTTAGCAGCCTGCCAAATGCTGGTGGTCAAATTCTGCAAGGAGGTAAGCAGGAAAGCACSTGGCTTGTCGGAAGGGCAGGACTGTCACAGGCTGGGTACAGACTCAGTGGGAAATTGAGACTATTTGTTTCATTCAGAGCATTTGT